GCCGGCGCTGGGTGGGTCGGCCGCTCCTCCGCCGGCCGGGGCGACGACAGCGTATTGTGCCGCCGCTGTCAGCGCCGACACCGTCGGCCCTCGGCAGACGGCAACAGAGCCACAAAAACCGCGGCGTAACGCCCGGTCATGTGCGCTGGGAACCGTATGTAAAATATCGCCGGCCCCCAAAAGCGGTGACGTTGGTTGTTCGGATCGTTTATACGATAAGGGCGCCCTGCTTTCCATATGACAGAATGAAATACGTCAATATATTCAGGCGCGATTCGCATCGTTGTTTGGTAATTCGGCAATTCATTTTGGGCGTCCATCAGTGCGGCGCTGACGTTTGGGAGGGCAGGGCGGCCGCGCGGTGACACAATCGGACATCGGCGGCGGTCACCGTCAGTGCGCATCACTGCAGTCCGACACCAGCAGACGCGGCGGCTCGGCAGGCGCACCGCGGCCCGCAGTCGGTTACCAAGCACGTGGCACCGCAGGACCACCCGGCTACCGAGCTGCCGGCCACAGTCCATGGACCTCATCAGCGACCGAGCGCGGCCACCGCCGCCGCCCAGAGACCACCACTGTTTATACAACGATCATCTGGGAGTAAGTCCATAATCTTCCAGTCATACCCTTAGCATCAATATTATAATCATTAGTTTATCACACATGCCTCTAAATTGTGTGAACAGGCGTAACGTCGTTCTCTGGAACCGTTCCAGCCGCTCCCGAGCCCACGGGTTTATCGTGAACGTCCACGGAGGAGGCAATAACCTCGCCAGAGCCCCTGCGGCGGTGTCGATATTGGCACACAAAGCCGTGAGTCGGCGTGCGAACCGCCTCCGTCTGTGATTTCAGGCCCGGGTACCTTGTCTGCGGTGCACGTGTGCCGGTCCATTCATTCATACTGTGACACGATCCAGACGACACAACACCGGTTAGCTCTCAATGACCTGACGCTCTGGCAGCCGGCGGCGGCCGGGGCCGGCCCTCGGCGGCGCCCTCACACCCTGCAGCCGGGCCATGCAGCAGCCAGCAGCGGCAGCAGCAGCCAGCCGCCACATACCAGACCGCTCTGGAAAAACAAATCCGACCTCTGGCGCCGGCTCGGCCGCCGCGTTATCGGCTCCTCGGGGCTCCCTGAGTCCCCCGACGGACCGGGTCGGCCACCTACAGTAGCCGGCTACTCGCACCGGCCGCGGTAGCCGCCGGTTATATAACTCCCCAGCGCGTACAGAGTACACAGTCGACGGTGAACAGAAGCGGGATAACGGCCCACGTCATATCGCCGACCAGATCCATCCCCAGACCAGAGCCTCGAGTATGAATACATGACGCAAAACGTCGAATGGTAAAGGCGCGCCGATTTGCAAATATTTGTTTTTGCTTCGCCATTCATGCAGTTTGCAAACATTTGAATAGATGTCACGACAAAGGCGCATGATGAGCAATGAGCACATCAAAAGGAGTGAAGACGGCATAAATAAAAGAAAAAGCCTTGACAAGAATGCATTCCAAATGGTGATTTTCGTGCAAGAAATTCCTTATCAAACGTTTGCACCTCTTTGTGAGTCTTCCGAGTGTCCTTGCCGCTTAAGTTCGGCACGTGGTCAGACGACCCCTCGAGGTAAAAAAGAAGGGACGCCATTTAATTGCGTCCCAGAAAAGCTATTTCTGGCACCTAAAAGCTGACTCGCCCCAAAATTGGTCCTCAGCACCTATTTGGTGGATACCAGCACCAATCGTGGAAAATGACCTTAATTAGCTGTTTCTGGCACCTATTCATCGGTACGCCTTACTCTTTTTTTCTGAATCTGGCACCTAAATGCTGAGCGTAGCACCAATCTAGTAGAAAAATGAACTACTGGCTGGTAGAATCATGTTATTCTGGTATAATGACCCCTGGAGTCTAGCCTAAAGGTTGCCAGTGCAGCTACACTCTAAGACAGCCCCGTAGTGATCTCAGCATTGTATATGACGTTTAAGTATGCAAATAATATTAATTTGTTTGAAAAAACAATGTCATTTAAATATTTAAAAGTATTTATTTGTAATGCTTAAAGGGAAACATTTTTGTGAGTAATTGTCTCGATTTTGACCATTAAAACGGGTACTGTATTTTTTGACGTCATCAAATAGCTCCAAAAAAGAAATGTAATGTTTTCATTCCGTTCAAGGCCGCTGAAGAAACGCGGGATCTTGCGTGGGACATTGTCCGTTGTTTGCCGCGCAGAGTTGTGCCGTGGTTGTGCCTTTTTCATCCGTTTCTTACGTATGGCATATGTGTGCATGAAGCTTTGATTTTGTTTTTGGTTATTGTGTGGCCGATCAGTCAAACGCTCCTGTAGAAACCGGATGCTGCGTTTGATCGAGATGGAGTCAGACGATGATTGATTGCAGAAAGCTAATAATATTGAAAAGAGGGCCGGTTGCGTGGCATGTCTGTTCAGAGTTGACATTTTGCTTTACTCCAGTTTATGACCTGAGAGCCTGGCTGGAAGTGACGGATCCAAACTTTTCACGTTAAAATGGCTGAGGGTGCAATAAGCTCTAAGACATAGCGGGCTGGTATAGGAGCGTCTTGCTATGCTGCACCATAGCTGGCTAGTGATTCTCTTTTGGCTAGAAATGGCATTAATCATTATCTCCACTGGCGAAAATGGCACTTGACATCACCGAATGCAACGTTCATGTTGTTAGGATACATAAAATCAGGAAGATTACGCGAATTAGGTAGGCAAACGTGGAATAAAATAGGTGCTGGATGTTTTGGTTTTGGTGCTGAATCAGCAAACAGCAAATACGGAGTTCAACTAGACGATCTGGCAACTTTAGGCTGTGTGGAAGCAATTAGGTGCCAGATTCAGATATTAGGGTCGAATAAGCATTTTGGGGCTGATCAGCAATTAGGTGCCAGAAACAGCTTTTTAGGGACCAGAAACAAATATTCCCCAAAAAGAAGAGCTGACATTGGAAGTCGACAACCGAGACAGGCGTTGCAAGTCAGACACCAATATCAGCGCCGAAAACTATTGCGGTTTCTTGGTCGACTCTTTCGACACTGACCGCTGACCAAGCCGATCGCCCATGCCTCCTGCGCACCTATCCACCTCGCTGCTCCAATATTCTCTTCTCGGTGCGTCCATCGGGTGGCAGTCATCCGGCACATTACCAGGGCACCGGGCCGCTCCCAATCCATGGATCGACGTCTCAATGGTCGGCCAGACGCCGTCCGGGCTGGCTACCGAGTGCCGTCTGCACAGCAGCCACCATTGGCGGCTATCGCGGCCACATCGGGGCGGCCATCAGCGCTCCGCAGACGGAGGGGGCACGCCACGGTCCGCCGGGGGCGCCTGCAGGGTTCGAACAGTGTACTACGCGGGACGCCTGCAGGGTTAGACGAGAGGGTACTATTGCAGACGGCGCGGCGGCGAACAGCGTGCACCCTTGTTGGAGGGTCATCCTCCCAGTCAACCCGCTCCCAACATGTCAAGAAGTTGTCTCCATCTACCCGACTACCACCAAGCCAGTCTTTTCTCCTGTCTCGTCTCCGTCACGGTCCGTCAGGCCGTCCGTACCCCGCAATCCACCCGCGGGGGCAGTGCAGGCCACCCTCCCCTCCCGACGTCCCGTGTCACCCGTCCGGCCCACAGCGCCACCGAGCCTAAACTGGTCTCACTCCGAGACCGATACACGGTCCGACACGGCCGGCGACATGGTCCCGCTGCACGCCGCTTGGTAAAGCAGCAAACACAGTGGTAATGGCCGCCGATACGCGGACCACCCGGCCCACACCGCCGGCCGGAACGCTGTCTGTCTACAGCGCAGAAGGCCAATACGATGCAAATGACACGGGCCACTACTGGAGGCGGAGACAGGCGGGAGGCGGGCGGTCGAGTGCGCGCTGCAATGAATCGCCATGGAGACAGCCGAGGTGGTCTTAATCCAGGTGTGGTGTGGTCTGGTGGCAGGCGGCTGACAGCAACATCGGAGAACACGGCCGGAGGCCGAGAGAGTTCACTGCGCCAGGCAGAAGTGTCACCGAACACAGGGGCCACACAGTGTCCGGGCTGACACGTAGTACAGAACTTACATCCATACATAGCCCATGGGCAACACATTAGCGTCCGGCCGCATATCAGCCCAGCTGTCAATTTACACCGAGCACCACGCCGCCGCCCGGACCGGAGGCCCTCTCAGACGGCACGCACAGCCCAGAGGCGCGCCCACCTCGCCTGATGTCATCAATGAGTGGCGTAATCACTGCACCACGCCCTGACGGCGGGCCGCCGCCGTCCCCTCCGTCATCATCAGCGCTGCCAGCCATCAGATGGGCCAGTTTAATCTCGGCTGATGGTCATAAAACGCCACTCCTCCTCATCAGTGGACGTGCCTGCCGCAAACGCCGCTGCCCATGGCCACGAGCGCCGGCCGGCCCACGCAGGCGCAAATCACGGCACGCACCCACAATGGCAAATCATCCCACGCGCCCCTGCTCGCAAATCATGGCACACGGGTGGTCAGTGGTCACCGGCGTTATATCGTAAATGTGGCGGTCATTCAGCTTAGCTGCAATCACTGGCGGTAATTTTCTGACCACACATAACCATCACCCGTGACTGGTATGACTGGAAAGCCACCGAACAGTCTTGCCACATAAACCACGCGCCGATTACAAATCTATCCATCGCTGCCGTCACCAATGACCGGCCGTCGGTCCCCGATCATCGCCTTCTCTCCCCGACAGTCGCGTGCCGTCGGCGGGCGTCACGCCACATCACCGGAACCACACCACTTCCGGTGGCGGCCCGCGCTCCCACGCCTCGGGCGCCTGACGACCGGAGGCGCTCCACAACCACCACGCAGCTTCATGGACACTGCCCTCCGTCCTCGGGTCCAGCTCCAGCGTGCGTCCCGTCCCGTCCCGTCCCTCGGCCATGCGCCATGCACTACTACTCTTACGTACCAGTCATGAGTTCTTCACGAGCTCGCCAGCATTGCCTTACCGTGAGATGGTCGGTCCTATATCCACCCAGAGCGCCCTTCCAGTGGCCCGCAGTGCTTACCTGAAACAAGATCGAGGCCATCTGGTGAGCATGCCACTGTCGAAATGAGCTCATCGTTCAGGCGGCCGTGCATGCTAAGCGGCGGCCGGCCAGATCGGATGCGATGGGCCGGGCGGACCCGCGTCAGCACACAATGGCCCGGCATATCTCAGCTGCTTAGCAACATGTGCAGTGTAATCGCGACATCCCGCGGCCCATGAACGATGCAAAGCACGCCGGCGGCGGTTTCGTAATAACACAGGGCGGTGCTGGCCTCTGGCGGAACAATGGTGTATTACAGTTGATCGCGATATACAATAGAGGGCAGCACCACGGCGGCCGCCCACGGTAGGCGTCGAACGTCTGAAAGAAGTCGGCCTCACGCTGACGGCCAAGGTTAGCGGCTGCGTGTGTTGGTCGGCGTCCGATCACAATCTGCCGGGTGTGCTGGGCCCCGCCCTGGCCTCCTGCTCACCTCGCCGCCACCGCCCCCGCCCCCGCCCATTCAGCGCGGCGCCGATCACGCCCTTTCCGCCGCCCCGGGCGGCTCTGTGCTCCCCTCCCAATGACCGTCAGCGCTGCTCCGACGCGGGCCAAAACAGCGCGATGCTTGCAGCATCGGCGGCCGGCGCAGCGCGACGATCTCTGCGCAGAGCATCGTGCAGCGACGCGACTCGCGCTTCCCTGCTCCATCCGCCCTCCCTTCCTCTCTCTCCCCCGACCAACGAGCCATTTCACCAGAGCACCGAACGACCAGCAGCCAGCCAGCCAGGCAGCGCACAAAGCCGACCGGCGCGGTCGACGCTCTCCGCTCAGTGGCGAGCGCGTGGAGCGCGTGCGGCGCCGGCGCGCCCCCACCCCACTAATACTGCTCCATTAGCGCCGGCGGCGGCAAAAAGCGCCGATCGGCGCCGCGTCGGTGGCCGCCTGAGCCGGGCCGAAGGCAAAAAGAAAAAAAAAAAACAACGGCGGTCGTCCGCCGACCGATCGCGTGGCTCGCTGTTCTGGCTGGGTGCGCGGCCGCTGCCGTGTTGGCTCGGGAGCCGAGGGCCGGCCGATCGGTCGCACGGCGCCCGCGGACGTGCGCCGAGAAACGAGCTTCCTCGCCGCCGCCGCGGGAGCTGGTAGGTGGTGCGTGACGCGCGTCCGACAAAGTTGGTCATTATACCGGCGTCGAATTAAAAACGGCACCGCACGGGCCGAATTCCGACCAACGGTGCGCCACCTGTCGCCGTATCGGCGCCGGCGGGGCGACGGCCGCCGAGACGGTGCGCGTCCGACGGCGGTCCGGGCCGACCGACCGGCCATGGCCGCGCCGAGGCCGCACTCAAGGATACTGGATTCTACAGCACACTCGGGCTATCTGACATTAGAGGGAAACGGATTTACATCCACCCATGAACGCATTGCGCACATGACTTCATCGCTCCTAAAATAAGAACATGACGTGCGAAAACAAGATGATCCGTTTTGATAGCCTAACTGGGCCAGGCGCTGCACGCACGAATCACTATTCAGCTCAACGCTAATACTAGCACATGCACGAAGCCACCATAACGAGGCAAACAATCTTGCCGACACGCTAAACACCTACGCATGACACGCTAATTCCGTCAATCACCGCCTCCTTCACCGCCAAAGGAACAGCGTCACACCACACTACGCAAACACGCTCGGGGCTAACGCGCATCCCAAGGCGAGGAGGGCGGCGGAGAATACAGCGACGACGCTTGTTTGGAGTTTCAGGGCACCGGAACCAGGGCTGTTCTATGGCACCCAGTGTTATTGTACGGCACTTTGACGGGCCGCCAGAGCGCGGGGCAGTGACCGCCCCCCCCTCCCTCATCTCCATCCATCTCCGTCTCGAAGTGACCCAGTCCCGAGTCGGCGCTCCTCTCTGACCGGATGCCGCACTTCCGGCGAGCTCTCTGCCAAAAGTGTCGCCGACGGAAACCACAATGCGTATGCGTCAGTGCGCGTGCCACGCACGAGGCCGACGCACAGGCGGAGGACCAGCGTCCTAGTCCGGACGCGGAAGCCGAGGCGGGAGGCGGCGCCGTCCTCCGCTCTGGTCGCGAGAGCCGAGGGCGGCAGAACAATGCCCGCTCCTAGATAGTCGGCCATCCGGTGGATGCAAGGTCGGAGGGAGCGATCGGTCACCGCGCCTGTCAGACAGAGGAGGTGCCTGCCGGCGGCGGCGGCAGTGGCACCGGGAGAGCACCCCCGGGTCTATCGCCGCACCTCTGATCAACCGTCGGAATTACATCAAAGAGAGACGCACTCTGCTGCAAAAACCGGGCAAAACCAATCAATGAAGCGTTTTAGCATCTTCCACGAATACCAACCGCAGAGAAGCTATACGAGCACAAGAAAGAGACCCTTGAAAGAGCATTCTACGAAATGCATCAAACGATCTCATTTGCGGCGGGAATGGGCGATGCAGAGCGACTTGCTCATGACTCTTGCAGGCCGAGAGCGGAACTGGGCGGGTCCCCGGGGCAGCTGAACCATGCAGCAGCAGTCAAATCACCACGGCATGTCACGTCACTTAACGTCACGCAACGTCATCCCGCGTCACGTTATGTTGCCGCTGGCGGCTTGCTCCAGTAATAAAACCCCTCTAAAAGGTACCGCTCTCGCTAACTAAGTCCATTCTGCGCACACGCCCTCAGTCAGACATCGCCCCGCGTGACGTGGCTCTCGGCTGAACAGTGTCACAACACCGCCTTGCAGACGACCACAATTTAGCGGCCAAAAGTGTTAAGCCGAAAATGTGTGCGCTGTCTTGCGGTGACTTGAGCTTCTCGCGGTTTCAAGAGCAGCGGGCAGGACAAACCATTTGCGTCACTCAGATTTAAGCTGAGAGCGACACCCGTAAAACTCTGCCACAAAGCGGATTACTGAGATCAGACCAGTCTTATTATTAGACTGTTCTAAGCGTATCAGCGGTTGCGAGCTAATTTCATGCCGTGAAATGGAGAGTAGCTATCATCCCTGACAACCAACAGGATACAGACAAAGCATAACTAGCTCAGTTTAGAATTAAGCTCCCATTGAAGAGCCATATTAACGAGTGAAAGTCCTGACACAGATACTCATCACAGAAACCCCTAAACCGGCGCGGCAGCGTCATCTAATAAACACACAATACCTAATCACATCCAGCAACAAGGCGTCGGCGTTCCGCCCCCGCATGGCGGGTCGGTCGGAGGGCGACCAGCTGACCGGCCCGGCTGCGGGCGCGGCCCCACACCAGCTGGCCACTCCCATAGGCAACAAGTGGCGCATAGTGCGGCCCGGCGCCACCACCTGACCCGGTGTTAAAGGGAAGCCAGCAGCCGCCGCCGGGCAACAGCCGGCGCCCGTGCCGCCGCCGCCGCCGCCGCCACGCGCCGCCCCAATCTCGGTGCGGCCGCCGACGGACGCCGCCGGGCCGCCGATGGAGGGGAGGGGAGGCACCGGCAGGTGGGACACACAGAGAGGGGACGGGCGGCGGCGGGGAGCGCGAGCGCGGCGTCCCCTCTCCCCAGGGCTGGCGGCTATTCGCTGCCGGCGACGGCCGATCTATCTCAGCGTCCGCTCGAGGCCGGAGTCGACGGAGGCACCGCAGACCGGTCACCGCGACATGATAGTCCGAGGCTCCACGCCGCCCCCGTGTCGTCCCCACCACCATTCCACCTACGCCCGCCAGGACAGCTGTCAACACTAAAACAAAAACCACTCCCACAGCCGTGCCGCCATCGTTTCAGGCTCTTCAACCAGCGCTTCAGCTGGATTAGAGCCAGCGGTGATTTCGACCCAGCGCCCCCTGACTGCTGATCTTCACTCTGACAGTGACATCCACCCGGCCCTGATTCGAAAACAAAGACGCCTTAAAAATGACTCCAGTGTGCAATAATTCGGACTAACGGACGGCGCAATTAGACACATAATGACGTCGATTAATTCAATTTATCGCCATCATAACGCTGGGACGCCGCGCGCCTCTGAGCGTGTGCCATCTATGAAAAATGGCCGCTGTATGGCGGCGGCCGGCGGCAAGGCGCGGTAGCTCGGCGCGGCGCGACGTACGCGGCGCAGTGACGTCACCAAATGGGCCGTAATAACAGGCCGAGCGGGCGGCCGATGGCAATCTCCCCTCGTGCGCCGATTAACGGCCGCCGGCGTCAGGAGAGCAGCAGGACCGGGGCAGCGCCGCCGGGGCCAGGACAATGGGACAGGACAGTGGGATGGAACAGCAGAACCGGAGCAGCGCCTTTGGGAGGACAATGGGAAGGGGCAACGGGAGAGGATAGTAGGACGAGACAGCATGGGTGGCGGTGGTTTTAACCAGAACTGGATTATACACCAAACCACACAGACAATAGTGCAGTGTGCGCTGCATCCAGCTCCATGAAATCAGTTCTCAATGTTCGGCTGAGCGGCGCTCTGGCGGGACCCGAGCCCGTCTCGAGCTCGACCCGACCCGTTTATCATCGCCAGTCCTTTGTGTGTCCTCAGACTGGACCGGACCGGTCGCCGATCGTCAGGCCAGTCGCTTCCTGCGCCGGCGGCAAAAACTCCCCTCCAGACGCGTCGAAATCGGAGCCGAACGGCCGTCCTCCGCCCAGAAAAATGTCCCGTGCGCGACGGATTCGGTTACCACATTCCACGGGGACGCACCGAGGCAAAAACCCACCAGACAAAATCGCTGCCCTCCAGACATTCAACGACATCGTCGACACGTCTTTCACAGAGCGGCGAGCGCTCAGGGACGATCGACGCGTCTGGCCGGCGGAGGCCAACGGTTCGTCCGAGCGTTTGAAAGTCCGACAATGGTCCCAGACATCGTCAGTCGATGCATAATTGCATACATCACTTTAGATGTGACGGAGGTGCGGTTATGACAACAGCACAAGTGCATCTACCCTGGTAATGGCGAACACTGAACGTTCCTCATCCGTGCCCCAACCACTGTCTGCCACCAGCTGCCAGCCACGAGCGAGCGCCCACCGCCGGCGGCAAGGACCGCCGTCCCACCG